ATATATATATATATATATATATATATATATATATATATATATATTCGTCAGAGCCACAAAGAAGCACACGTGTGAAATCCTATTTTTTTTTTTTTTTTTTAGGCAGAGGAAATGCATTACGCATAGTCCGGGGAATTCAGGACTTCCCCAAGGGTAGTGTGGGGCTCTCCCCATCCCGTCAACTGGGGAGGGGGTCTACCCACTAAAATCCTCTGCCGGGTCTTTTGCGGCCGTCGCGAGGGCGCCCCGTGAACCGCTCGCGCATAACTTCCGAGACGCCCTTAACCGTCGGGCGGATCTGTCTAACCCGCCCCCACTTCCGGATCGGGGAGAACTCCCACCTCGGCCCACTCCACCAAATCCTCCGTGACCGGACGTGGAGCCCTCCCATCCGGTCATATCATTTCCCTAATGGGGCACTATGGGCCAGGTCCGGTCCCGTCCGGATCCGACCCGCTCCTTCGCTCCCGACCGAGGTTATGGGGTGGGACGTCATTTTGCCCCTCCAACCCTCAATCAGGAGACCGCGTACTTTGCGAGAGAGGTGAGTCGTTATCGCTGGCCGCCACGGTCCAGTCTCCCCCCGCTGGGACTCCTTGCGCAAATGCACGCTGAGAACTATCGGCGTGTCAAGGAACTCCGGAGTGGGGGAAACCAGGAACATCTGGCCAAGGCCATTGGCACGTACACAAGTCTGTCAACGCCTCCTCCTAAGATGGAGTCCTACACCTGGAGGAGGCGGTGGGCCTGTCGGGAAAGCTGGCCACCCTGCCCCCTTCCCGGAGGCGCCTCGTTTGACTTTTAGTCATGGAGGAGATTTCGCGCCTTATGGCGCGTCTCCCCCCTCCCCCCCTTCAACCAGGCGCCTTCTATTATCTCCCCCCGCCGGGTCCTTCGGCGATTGCCGCCAGAAGAGCCCGGTCGTATGCGGGGGGCAGCGCACCCATAGGTACCCCGGGGGAGGGAACGCCAGCGGTGACGTCCCCTCCCCGCCCACGAGTGCGCCGCCTTTCTATTCCGCGCAAATGCGCGGGTGGGAGATGCGCCCTTCTCCTTCGTTGGCGTCTCTCCCCGTCCCGAGGAGCGACTTTGCTCCTTCTTATCCTTTCCGCGCCCTCCTTCTGTGACATAACAGTGTCGCAGAAAGAGGTAACGGCGGACCAGCCCTCATCTCTCCCAAACATGGCCCTGATAAGGGCCGGGGGAGAGAGATTCGCCCTCACCACCTCGATTAGGATCCGGCGCTGCTCCAGGAGGGACACTTCTTCAGGGTGTGTTGCACCGAGTCCACCTCGGCACTGTGGTGGCAGCGGGAAGTATGCTCCCTATCAATCCTATGCAGGTACTCACCGAAACATCCATGTCCGGTGAGTACCTGCGTTCTCCGGAAAGACAACTCTCCGCTGGCCCTGTCTATCCATTACTGTAGACAGGGCCGGATTTCGGCGACCCTTTGTCCCGACAGGCCCACCGCCTCCTCCAGGTGTAGGACTCCATCTTAGGAGGAGGCGTTGACAGACTTGTGTACGTGCCAATGGCCTTGGCCAGATGTTCCTGGTTTCCCCCACTCCAGAGTTCCTTGACACGCCGATAGTTCTCAGCGTGCATTTGCGCAAGGAGTCCCAGCGGGGGGAGACTGGACCGTGGCGGCCATATGCGATGCCGTACTGTAGGCCCGGGCGAGACGGATGGCGACCCACCGCTGAGCGCGGTGTCCCAGCGCTGTGATGCGCTGGTTGGTCACTATCTCGCTCGCCCAGACTGGGGCCCCGTAAAAGACCATATAGTGGACGACGTCGGCATACAGTCGCCTAGCCTTTCTTTTTGGGCCGCCGAGGTTGGGCAGGAGGCTACCCAATATGTTCGCCACCCTGCCCAACTTGGGGGTCAGAAGCTCAAAGTGCTTTTGAAACCCCCATGTGCCATTGAAGACGAGTCCTAGATACTTTATCGTGGGACCTGTCTTCACGGAGATGTCGTCTATCCGGACTCGGGCCCTAGGTGGCTCCCCCCTGGACCCATCATGCATGAACATGAATTCTGTCTTCAGGGGAGCCACCTAGAGGCCCATCCTATTTAGAGAGCATATCACCTGGTCCACCGCCAAACGCTCCATGACTAGGGCGTCCCGCCAGCCCCTACACCCGGCCAACACCATGGTGTCGTCCGCATAGCAGACGACGGTGCAGCCGGAGGGCAAGGCGGAGAATTTGGTCATACACGACGTTCCATAATAGGGGTCCAAGCACGGACCCCTGCGGAACGCCGCGGTAGACCGCCCTTCCGTACTGGAGTTCCGCTTTGTTGCGGAACTCCAGTTTTCTACCCCAGAAATAGTCCCGAATAATTGAGACCAGGTGGGGGGACCCTAAAATGGGCCAGACCCGCCTCAACCTGGTCCCAAGGGAGGGAGTTGAAGGCGTTGGCGATGTCGAGCGACACCGCCAACACAACACCCCCCTCCTCCCTCCCGACGGCCTCCGAGAGGCGCAGAATCGCGTCCACGCTTGATCGTCCCTCCCGGAAGCCGTACTGCTCCTCGTTGAGGAGACTACCGTCGTTCTTGGGACTACCCTGGGATAGATGTCGAACGAGGCAGTAGTGTATTATCCTCTCGAATAATTTACCCGCCTTGTCCAGCAGGCATATCGGCGTATAAGCGGAAAGGCTATCTTTCGCCTTGCCCCCCTTCCTGAAGAGGACCAAGTTGGCCCTCTTCCAGGGGCTGGGGAACACCCCGGTCCTCAAGCAGGAGGTGAAGAGCCGCAACATGCGGCTCTTACCTCCCCTACTCTCATTGCCAAGGTTTAGATTGTGCCCGGGATGCCGTCAGGGCCCGGCGCCCTTCTCTTTGCGTCGAGCTTCCTGACGCGGCCCTGTCCATCTCCTCCATCGTAACCCCGACGAAAAACGAAAAAGTACGGGGAAATTACCGATACGCGCTTACTCCCGGGTTAAAAAGGACATCTTAAAGGTATCTTTAAGACTTTACTGAAAGATGTCTTTATGACGTCTTTTGGTAAAGTCTTAAAGATGTCTTTCTTGAGACGTCTTCAAGACGATCTTTTAGACGTGTTATCTGAATATGTACATATTACACACACATATTAATCTATTTTGGAGTAAATCGGTTAAATTCTCTAATTTCAAAAAAGACAAATTAACAATATTCATTCGTTAACAATTTAATTAACAACTTAAATTAATTAATTTAATTAACAACGCAACATGACACCGAAAAGATTCATAAACCAAAAATAATTTAACAACTGGTTCTAGTTTTCTCTAAGTTCTTGTTTCTGATATTTACTACTGTGAAATATTGTTTTTATCTATTAATATATTTTTAATGTATATTTGATTTGATGATTGAATGTGGTAGGCCACCAGCCAACATGACTGGTGGCAGCACAGGAAGCACAGTATTGCTTGAAGTACAGGAGTTGTGCCGAGTGATGGGGTGATGGAGGAGCGAGGAAGAGATAGAGAAGAATGGCTGAAGAAGTTGCGACAGGGATTGTCTGTTTCCAAATATTGTTTTTTTCTTTTGTCAAATACATTATAGTTAATCGCAGAATAGTGTGTTCACTCAGAACTGTGTGTTCATTCAAAACTGTGTGTCAAAACACTAATTGTGCGTGCGTGCGTGCGTGCGTGCGTGCGTGCGTACGTGCGTGTGGCGTGCGTGCGTGCGTGCGTGGATGCGTGCGTGCGTGGATGCGTGCGTGCGTGTGTATGTGTGTGTGGTTTACGTTACTTTAGATTTTCAATATTGACAGTGAATATTGGAATATATTCTTTGCCTACAGAGTTCTCACATTATCGTTTCTTGTGCACTCATTTATTAATATTGTTTCATTAATTTTTTAATAAATATTGTGGAATTTATGAAATGATAGATAATTTTCTAATTCAATTTGATCCTTTTTATTTGCATACAAGCATTTTTTCTTTAATTTTCAGACATCTTGCATATGATTTATTACTACTTATTTGTGTAGTTAATATTCAAATTACTGGTAAATATTTGTTTTATTTGTTTTATTAGCGGAAGCGGCGATGGGTTCTACAGTTCCGAATTTCAGTCATTATTACGAGGGAATTCGTTATATAATGCCACTATGCCGCGGCAATTAGCCTATGGTGCTTCGATTACTTTAAAGAATCATCGCACAGGTGGTGGTTATTTGCATTCGCATTGGCACTTGTACCCCGAAGGAATTGGTGCCAGACAGCAACAGGTTGTTAACAGAATTGAAAAGTAACACATTACTTGCAACACAGTTATCGTTACAAGATTTTTTAACTTTTTTTTAGTAACGATTTGACAACGGTATTATTTCATTTATTAATAATGATAACTGTGGTGTAATTATATTTTTGCGTAATACTAGTGAATATAATCGTCATTTTAATCGTTATTTTTTTATATGTAGGATAAATGTATATAAGATGATAGCAAATTGTACAAAAAGATTTGTGAAATTTGATGAAAGTAACGATACTCGTTATTTCTTAAGTAACGATAACGGAAACAAGTTATTTTTTTCAATGAATAATGACTAGTTATTTTTAAAAAATAATGTTCTCAACTTTTGATTATTAGGTATATATTCGGTTTCAATATAGTTTCGAATGCTTTTTTTTTCAATATAATTTGGAACGCAATCTTAATGTTCACAATGAGAAAGCTTATCTCTTGAGAATTAAAAAGAAATTATTATTTAAAAAATTGACCCATTGGACATGGACTAAAATGCATCGAAAGAAAGAGATATACAAACTGTATCAAATTAAATATGTTCAGTAAATACCAACAGTAACATTACATCAATGTTATAATTTCCAACAAGCAAGATTCGCAAAATCGAAAAAATTTGAACTTAGAAAAAATTTGAACTTTTGTAGAAATAAAATATATATTAACCTTATCACTTAGCTATTTTTCATTTTGGCTGAAAAGCAGTTTTGAGAGTAAAAATACCCCTTTAAAAAAAATTGAATTCTCTATTTTTTCTAATATCTCTAAAAGCATAGGATATTGAAAAAATATTAAATACAAAATTATATGGTATACAATTATTGATAAATATACTGATTAACTCCTCTCAAACGACTCTGATATATATTATTTTTTTAAAAATATGCTAAATAACATACAAAAAGTTTCAACCGTCAATATTTGTTTATTGCAAAGTTATTGTAAAAGAAAGGACCCCGCACAAATCTTATGGGAAATGGCCCTCAGCGGATTTGGCTGAAATTTTAGTATGATGTAGTCCTGGTCATGCTGAACAAAAGTCTCAATGGCACTGACAAGTTCTGATGGCTAGTTTTCGAGTTACAATAGATTAATGATTAATAATTAGAAAATTCAGCTATGATTAATGAAGTTTTACCAATAAACTGATGGTCTCACATGGTGTTCCGTATTTTGCTAATGCGTATGAACATAAGACTACAGATTTAGCAATATATATTGTCAGTAGAATATGTATAACATAAAACTACCGCGGCAAAAGTGACAGCAGAACTCAACGCTCACCTGAGTAATACTGTTTCAACAAAAACAGTACGGCGGGAACTCCACAAAGCTAACATTCATGGAAGGGCTGCAATTGCACAACCCCTTATAACGGAAGCCAACGCTAAGCTGCGAAAAAAGTGGTGCGACGATCATAAAACCTGGACACTTGATGATTGGAAGAATCCATACCACTTGGTGGTATGGTCCGATGAATCACCGTTCACATTGTTTCCTACTAACGGCCGGGTTTATGTATGGAGAACCCCAAAAGAAGCTTACGATCCGGACTGCCTGCTTCCTACAGTCAAGCATGGGGGAGGTTCCGTTATGATTTGGGCGGCTATATCGTGGTATTCAGCTGGTCCTCTCATTCACATCACTGGCCG